TTGTTTCAAATTTTTTTGTAGCGATTAATTTTTTGTAAATTTTTAATTTTTACAAAATTTTTCAGATTTTTGAATTTTTTCACAATTTTAAATAGTTTTCAATTTTTTCACAATTTTTTGTAGCTTTTAATTTTGTGTCATTTTTTAATTTTTACCAAATCTTTTTAGATTATTCACAATTTTTTATAATTTGATAATTCTGTTGATTTTTGCAAATTTTCTTAAATTTTTAAAAAAATTTTCACAGTATTTTGTAAATTTTCAAATTTTACAAAATTTTTCTCTTCTGTTAATTTATTTGTGTGTCAAAGTTTATTTGTGACATTGTTTTAGTTACTTAGAGGCCGCTTTAGTTGCGGCTAACACCGAAGTGGGGGTGCAAATTCCAAATTTTACGACTTGTTGTTGCTGGTTTTTGCATGTTTCCTTAACATTGCATATATCCAACTATTTTCTTCGAATTAGTTTCCGTTTCCGTAGTTATTTTGTTCACTATTGTTGTTGCTATATGTCTAGTTTAAAAAAAGGTACTCCTTAGTTGCTTATTAGTAGTATTAGTAGTGAAATTTTAAGTTCATAGGCGCAAGCATTAGCATTGTTAGTAGTTGTTGTAGTTTAGTTGTAATTGTTGTAATATTTAGTTGAAGCTTGTAAAAATTTCTTTTATTGGTTTCTATGCTAAAAAGTAATAATTGCCATTCCAGTAACTAGGTAGTAAGTGGTTGTTGTTGTAGATTTGAGTAGTAGTTATTTAAGTTAATAATTTAGAAGTTTTTGTTGTTGTACGTTTTCCGCAAAATTTCTATGATTAGCAAAAGGTTAAAACGCGAACAGCAGACTTTTATTTTTATTAAATATATTTGTTGTTGTTGTAGTAAAAATATTTATTTCCAATTGAGCTGTTGCCAGGAAGTGCCTCTAGCTTTTTGTTGTTTTTGTAACCTCATGTAACGCTTATGCCGCTTGTTGCCACAAGTGAAGCGTTAAGTTCATGTTGTTTGCTTAGCAAATTTTGCGGCGCGTCGCACTTGTTGTTGTTGCTAAAAATTTAGAAAGGCATAACAAATTATGTTTGTTGTTTTTTTTTTTTTTAAACTATACTGTGGAAATTATGCCCAATATTGGCTTTTAAGCAGCAAATGCACAGCTGCACTGCCGCGTTGTTTGCACTAAACACCCGTGCAGAGATCTTTAAAAATAAGTAGGGCTTGAGTTCGTTTTTAAGCACTGTTAGTTAAATTTTATGCATTTTTTTGTAAATAAAGAATATTTTTACTCGCGAATTTTGCTTTTGAGTGCAACACACAGCGCATAAAACTGCATTTCGGTAGCAAAAGGCATGAAAAAAAGGAATTTTTATTTACTTAAATTTTAAAAATTTTTCTTTCATTTTTTTTCTTTGTGTAACTCATAAGATTTTCAAACAATTTCGGCACCAATTTTCACAGTCCAGCTTTGCTTGCGCCGTTGCGCTGCCGCTTGTGCTATGTGTTGCAGCTTTTGCTGCAAACTGTTGCTGGTGTTGTCGTTGCCGCAAAATAATTTATTGCGCTCATAACTTGAGCGTGACATGTTTTGCAAAGATTTTTTGCTAAGTTGTTTTTATAATTTTTACCCAACACGTCGCGTATTTTAAGCGTTTAGTGGCGTTTGCACGCAGCCACGCACCTTTGTTGCTGATTTAGCTGCTGCTGTTGCATGTCGCACCGACGCTATGTTGTTGACATACCGTTACTTTGACGTAACATAAGCTTTCTATGCAAATTTGTACGCGAAAATGCAATTGTTGTGATTGCTTTGCTTCAATTTTGTCTTGATCGCAGCGCGATTTAGGCAGTCAACGAGCGAGCCCAGTAAGCGACCAACACCGTCAACTTGTAAATGACAAGTAACAGGCAGCGTATGCCAGCAGCAGCATCAATATTGATGCTGTGGCATGCCACAGCTGCAACAATGACGGTGACGGTGACGCCGACGACGGAAACGGCGGCAATGCACAGTGGCTGGCTGGTTATCAGCGTGAATTGTTGTTGTATTTGTTGTTGTTGTTGTAGTAGTAGCTATTGCAGCGGCTCTTACAGGCGGTTGCCGTAGGTTTGTCAGCGCTAGCAGCAGTATTGTTGCAGCGCGGCAATTAGAATGTTGCAAGCATGACAACAACAACAAGCAACAGTTGTTGTAAATAGCAAAAGCGCCAATAGCAAAAGCGGCAGCTAAGTAAAGACACTTCTTGAGCTTGCCACAGGCAAATTGTATATTCTTGTTGTTGTAGTTGTAGCACTCAAATTACCGTTGGCGGAACACACTGCTGACCAGTTTGCAGCTTCGATTTTTCAAATTTTTCGCACTTCACAACTCAAATTTTTGATTTTTTTTCGAATTTTCGTTGCTGTAAACTAACTAAACTGTAATTTATGTGGCGCAACACGCCGTTAATGCATCTACTAAATATTTGTGGCGCATTAGTCGCCGTTTGTGACGTGCGGAACGTATTTTGTTTTGTTATTATTGTTGTTGTTATGATACGACACAACACCGCTCAAAATGTGTTATTTACGAAATAAGACGCGTACGGTTCTGACGTTGAACCGATACTGGCGCTATAAGCCAAGCATTGTATCTCAGCGGTGCGATACTGCGCGGCGCGCTGCTGCTCCCCGTACACAAGCGCTAGCAACCTTTCTAAATAGAATGCTACACGCATACAACCTACACAGCTAGCGCGCTGAGCGCAGTCAACAAGCCAAACAGCAGGCGCGCGCTCCGTGCTGAGTGCAGATCAACGCGCGTGTATGTGTGTTAAACACACGCATGCAGACACACACCGTCGCACGGCCAAATGCCCATTCACCCGCGCATGTTCGTGCATGTCGACACACACACTCTTACAACTACACCGCGCGCAAGAAATATGCCGCACACACATGCAAGCGAAGAGCGCGCGCTCTAGCGCTCTCACAAAAAGTAAGTTTTTCGCAAAGCGCTCTCATTGGCGTGTAGTTTGCACTTGTGTTGGTGCCTTTGTGGTACATAGATACTTTCAGTTACACGGATAAAATGTTTGTTGTTGCTTGGTAGCCGCATATTGCTCGCCATAGTTGGTGTTGTGCGGTTTTGGTTGCTATTGTTGTTGCTTTCGTGTTTTTGTTGCTGCTACTCTGGTGTTGCATGCAAAAACACGTGCGAAGCGCACAACTGCAACGTATTTGTCACTGTTGCAACCTCCTACTCAACGCAGCTGGTTTTGCGCTGCGCCACCACAGCTTCGTCGTTGTCCACTCACGTCTTTATTTGTCGCTGTTCCCACTCCATTTCGCCGCTGCTCGCATTTATTTTCATTTTTTTAATTTTTTTGCCATATTTTCGCTTATTCGACTCTTTGCAGTCTTATTTGCAGCGTTCGAGTGTTGGTGTGTGCGCTGGTTACGACTCTATTTGTTTTTCTTGTTGTTGTTTTTATTGCAATCCTCAGTGCGCGCTGTTGGCGTGACTCTTGGTTGTTGTTTTGTTCGCTTTGTTTGTTTGCTTGCTTTGACTTTTGCTGCTGTCAGCTTTTTATTATTGTTGTTGTTGTTACAACTGCGTGGGCCTCTTCTAATTGCAAAAGATATGCCAATGAGAACGAGACCTGGCGACTCGCGCATTTTATTCGTTTGTGTCTTGTTTGTGTTTTATATAATTTCGTTGTTGTTGCTGCTGTTTCAGCATCTGTGTGTGCTCGAAAGCACCTCCCACTTCCAGTTGCTGCATTGCTTTCGCGCGCTCGCTTTTTTTTCAACACACGAAAGCACTTCGCACTCGCTGCTGGTGGGAGCTCGCTGCCAAGCGGGTTTTCTGCTGCTTTAATTAGCTAATGCAAATACTAGTCCATTTAATTAGATGCAAATTATATGTGCATATGTATGTATATATGTGTATGAATATGTGTCGATGCATATGCACTTGAGAAAGCTTCTTAGATTTCGTATTATTTTCTTTTGGCGAACTTATTTAAAAGGTTTTTTAATAACTTTATTATATAGCAGAATCTGATAGGAACTCCAGTGTTAACGGAAATGTTTCCAAAAAAAAATTTTACAAAGCTTAAAGCTGATTCTGTTAAGAGTTATGGTAATTTCAGACCTTTGTGATCAACTGTAGTTAAAAAAGTCATCTGGAATTAAAAATTAGTTTATGTAACTGGAGTGGCAATATTAATT